GGTTTGGCAGATGCCAGGAGAATGCTACCATAGTGCCAACTCTCAAAGGGAGGATAGCAGAGGGAACACTGAAGGGAGGATAGCAGAGGGAACACTGAAGGAAGAATAGCAGAGAGAACACTGAAGGGAGGATAGCAGACAGAACACTGAAGGGAGGATAGCAGAGGGAACACTGAAGGGAGGATAGCAGAGGGAACACTGAAGGGAGGTTAGCAGACAGAACACTGAAGGGAGGATAGCAGAGGGAACACTGAAGGGAGGATAGCAGAGAGAACACTGAAGGGAGGATAGCAGAGAGAACACTGAAGGGAGGATAGCAGAGAGAACACTGAAGGGAGGATAGCTGTGAGGAAAAAGTACCTACTGGTACATTATTGTAATCATACTGTATTTATGCCAGGATTCCTCAAGTCACCTTCTGAACTGTAGGTGAATATCATGTATTTTAGTCATAAGTGTTCTATTTTGTTCAATATCTAGAGGACTCCTCCAAGGTTGCACAATGCAGTGTCACACAAGGGTAAGGCCCATAGCCGTGGGATGTAGGGGCTCTGAGGGTGCTGCAGCACCCCCTGATGAATCAGAATAAAAAGGTAGTGCACTGAGCCTATACTAGCCCTGTTTGAGCAGACCTAAATAGTCATCAGCAGCGCGGAGGGGAAACATTCTCTTCCACATCGTTTCCTGTGTGTTGTGGTTGAACCCTCTCTCTCGCTCTCCCTGCAGTGGCTCCCTGTCCGTTTGACCTGTCCCCAGTGTGAAGAGACCCAGAGCACATCGGGGAACACACACATCCAGCTGTTAATAAATAATTGAGAATAATCTGCCAATTATTTTCATGTTATTACATCAAGGGTAGAACATATACATTCAATAAAATTCACAAGTTGATTTAAAACCTGTTTAATCCTTTCTCATTCTTGACAGATGTCCAAAAATGTGACTAAAAAAAAACATTTTCTTTCCATGCATTGATGGCAGTGTTTGGTGCGTGGTGAGGGGAAAACCATTCAGAAAAATGACATGCCCTCCTAAAACTGGTTATAACTTCAGTTCTGTTAGTGATATTAACATTCTAACACAGACAGTGTGTTATATATACTTTATTTTTTGAAAAGTCAAGCAAAGAGGGAGCATGACAAAAAAATGGCAGAGTAATAAATACATTCAATTCATGAGCAGTCACAATGACTGCTTTAGTGGTTCTAGTGTTAATTAATTGGTAAATATTTTGAAAAACATTATTCCTCTTTGATATTATGGGCTATCATATGTAAGCCAATGACAAAAAAAATCGAAATGTAATCCACTAACATTTTTGTCTGTAACACAACTCAAAAGTCACTCCCACATCTGATTTATCTTTGTTGCAGGTGCATGGTAACAGTTGAATAAGATGAGAAAAATTAATGAACCCGCACACTGCTCTTGCTTCAGCTTTATGTATCGCCCTGAAGACCTTCGTCACTACAGCTAAAGAACACTAATGTTCACCACCACATATACTTTCAACTCGCGCAAAGTGGGAGACGCTGTCAAGAAACACTGGCATGGTTTATCATGGGACACATCTTTGCCAGCTGAATTTAAGAACCCACCACTTTTGTATGTAAAAGAGGTCGCAATTTACGCGACAAGTAGGCCCATGCCAACCACAAAAGAAAACGACCAGGATCTTTTAAGCCCTCTTGCGAATGGTAGCTATAAATGCAGAGGCAATATTATGAAGTGTGAATATTTCTGCCACAAACATACAGGAAAATAACATTATTACGTGCACCTCCACCCATGTTATCTACATGATTAAATGTCCATGTGGGTTGCGTTATTTGCCTCCCGAGTGGCTTAGCGGTCTAAGGCACTGTATTGTAGTGCTATAGGCGTCACTACAGACCCTGGTTTGTTCCCAGGCTGTGTCACAACTGGCCCATAGGGCGGCGCACAATTGGCCCAGCGTCGTCCTGGTTAGGTGAGGGTTTGGCTGGGGGGGTAGGCAGTCATTGTAAATAAGAATTTGTTCTTAACTGACTTGCCTAGTTAAATAAAGGTTAAAAAATAAAATAAATGTAGGTAAAACCTCTCGTTCTCCTGTGATGGAACATTTTATGTTTGTCTGTATGTCTGTATGGTCAAAAGACTATACCGCTCCCGCGTCTAGCTAGGACTCCCCTCCCCCGAAGGCCCAACTTCCTGCCTTTATCCTATCACTAACACAATTACCGCAGTACAATAAATGGGCAAGAGGGGGAGCCAAAAGCTAAGTTACACTAATAACAAAGGAATATATCTCAATCAGGTAAATATAAATCATACAGGTAGGTACCTAATATTTAATCATATACACTCATATTTCATATATTTACACACACGTACATGGAGCTCTGTATGTTGTCTTTTAAACAAATATGTCCAAATCAGCTCTAACAAGAGGTGATCTAACTAATACAAAAGAGAATGTCTGGAGGGTGAAAATCCAAAAACATTATACAAGGTCTTAATGATGAAATGCCCATGCATGTTATGTTTTAAATGTGAACATGAATTAAATGTCACCACTTCAGATTACTCTGACATTTTTTCTTGCACTGTTCCCAATGATTTATGAAAACTTACTTGATATGTCGATGTCCTCATTGTGGTTTTACAGACGTGTTTAATACGTTTTATGTACACACTTTATTAGAATACTTATGAAATGCACATTGTTATATGGTAACATTATTTTCCCTCGACTACAACCCCATCCAATGCATTGAACGGATGTGGGTGGAGCAATGTCTACATGAGGGGGCAAATTAAAAACATTCAATCTCTGACGAAGGCCTTAAGGCCGATACTAGGAAGAGCAGTGATACTAGTAAGAGCAGTGACACTATCAAGGGCAGTGAGACTATCAAGGGCAGTGAGACTATCAAGGGCAGTGAGACTAGCAAGAGCAGTGAGACTAGCAAGGGCAGTGATAATATCAAGAGCAGTGAGACTAGCAAGATCAGTGAGACTAGCAAGAGCAGTGATACTATCTAGAGCAGTGATACTATCTAGAGCAGTGATACTATCTAGAGCAGTGATACTATCAAGGGCAGTGATACTATCAAGGGCAGTGATTCCTGGAACAACTCCACAGAACAACTCGGCAGAACAACACCGCTGCTTGACAATACCGCCGCTTACAGCTGCCACTGAAAAAACAGGGGAGACTGAAGTACTATGGTCTATGAGTTTCTAGTAGATGGACCATATGTTTCAAGAGAAAATAGCCTAATTTTAAAAAAGTGTAATCAACAATGACATTATTTTCAATTACTTCTGCAACTCTAACTATTTACTTTCTTCACAACTGCCACCAGTTTGACGCCAAAATATTGACAATAAAATACATATAGACATTGTAAAATAAATGTGTGTAAAAAAAAAACGATATTTCATGCTGAAACCCTCATTAAAACACTAATAGTATTCACTAAATTGATGGTTTATAGTCAGGATATTTTACAGCTTTGTCAAGATTTTTTTTTTTGAAAATCATCTCATTTAACAATTTCAACAAGGGCCAGAGATAATTACAGACACCTGTGATAATCTGAAGTACCCAAAAGGGCCACTATAGGTCTTGTGATAGATTACATTTTATCCTTGAAAGATACCACAATTCTGGTAGTTTACTTGTAAACTTAGAATGTTTGCTGTAATACAGTGCATTCGGAAAGAATTCAGAACCCTTTCCCTTTTTTCCACATTGTTACATTATAGCCTTATTCTAAAATTGATTAAATAAAAATGTCATCAATCTACACATAATACCCCATAATGACAAAGTGAAAACAGGTTTTTAGACTTTTTTGCATATGTATTACAAATAAATAACAGAAATACCTAATTTACATAAGTATTCAGACCCTTTGCTATGAGAGCTCAGGTGCATCCTGTTTCCATAGATGATACTTGAGGTTTCTACAACTCGACGCTCCCCATCCAACCTGACAGAGCTTGAGGGGATCTGCACAGAAGAATGGGAGAAACTCCCCAAATACAGGTGTGCCAAGCTTGTAGCTTCATACCCAAGACTCGAGGCTGTAATCGCTGCCAAAGTACTGAGTAAAGGGTCTGAATACTTATGTAAATGTCATATTTCCATTTATTTTGTATACATTTCCCCCCAAAATTAAAAACCTGTTTTTGCTTTGTCATTATGGGGTAATGTGTGTAGATTGCTGAGGGGGGAAAAAAACTATTTAATCCATTTTAGAATAAGGCTGTAACATAACAAAATGTGGAAGAGGTCTAGGGGTCAGAATACTTTCAGAATGCACTTGGGCTCCCGAGTGGCGCAGCGGTCTAAGGCACTGCATCTCAACGCTAGAGGCGTCACTACAGACCCTGGTTCGATTTCAGGCTGTATCACAATCCAGCCGTGATTGGGAGTCCCATAGGGCGGCGCATAATTGGCCCAGTGTCGTCCGGGTTTGGCTGGGGTAGGCCGTCATTGAAAATAAGAATTTGTTCTTAACTGACTTGCCTAGTTAAATAAAGGTAAAATAAAAAATACCCTCCCTTTGCAAACCCTATCCTAGATCAGAACCCCTACTGAGATGGTTCATAAATACAGGCCCTAGTCTATTAACACATGCCATTGGATCCCTGAACTGTAGCATATTAGAAGTGCACAGTAAAAAATTGCCTGCTGCTTTCATTGGTTATCGTCAAATGCCCACTACACAACCTTTAGTACTCAACATATTACAAAATCCACCAACATACTTTTGGTTCAATGCAATTGAGGTCTTCTAGACTGAAGACAGACAACAATGACAAGACATTTCTACAAAAACATTTATTTAGATTCATATTTCAAGAAAATCGTTTAACAAATAATAATTCTTACAAGAAGACAATACAGTACAAATCCTTTCCAGGAGAGAGAGGGAGTGGGGAGCGAGAGAGGGGACCAAGGGAGAGAGGGGAGCCGGTGAATATGGAGTCTCTGTTGCGTCTGCCTGTCACCATCCAAAGCGAGACACCAGCTTCTCCTGATCATCCAGGTCTTTCTGTACCTTCTTCCTCATGTAGAATATGGGACAGTCCCGGCTAGACAGAGGGAGGGAAAGCAACATTTACTTAATAATAATCATAATAATAAATATAATAGTGGGGGTCCTAAATTATTGACAACCTTGATAAAGATGAGGAAAAATTTATCAAATAAATAATTCAAATACTGAGCTATATTGTATGCTCCATAAAAATGGGAAATTATATTATTTTATACGAATACAACTGATCAGAGAAAGATAATTTGTTTAAGTAATACATTTTTTTCCTCCTGTTTCAATACCTCACCTTGCGAGGATACTGAGCCTTTTTCTAAAAGGTTTTATGAGTTGGAAACACAATGTGAGGGATCTTAGACCATTCCTCCATATAGAATCCTTCCTGATCCTTGATATCCTTCGTCTGCGTTTATGGACTACCCTCTTCAATTCAAACCACAGGTTTTCAATGGGTTTCAAGTCCGTAGACTGAGATGGCCATTGCAAAATGTTGATTTTGTGGCCAATTGAAATTACTTTGTGGATTTTGATGTGTGCTTGGGGTTATTGTCTTGCTGGAAGATCCACTTGCAACCAAGTTTCAGCCTCCTGGCAGAAGCAACCAGGTTTTTGGCAAAAATATCCTGGTACTTCATGACCTTAACAAGGGGCCCCAGGAACAGTGGAAGCAAAATAGCCCCATAACATCAAACATCAAAGATCGATGAAAATAGAGCTCTTTGGCCACGCACACTAGCGGTGGGTTTGGCGTGGAAATGAGGATGCATGAGCAGAAAATAACCCCAAACCTACTGTAAAATATGGTGGTGGAACTTTGATGTTATTGGACTATTTAGCTATTTTTTCAATAGATATGCTCGCAAATTTTTTTATACAACCTACAGTGGGGAGAACAAGTATTTGATACACTGCCGATTTTGCAGGTTTTCCTACTTACAAAGCAAAAAGAGGTAAAAAATCCTGAAAATCACATTGTATGATTTTTAAGTAATTAATTTGCATTTTATTGCATGACATAAGTATTTGATACATCAGAAAAGCAGAACATAATATTTGGTACAGAAACCTTTGTTTGCAATTACAGAGATCATACGTTTCCTGTAGGTCTTGACCAGGTTTGCACACACTACAGCAGGGATTTTGGCCCACTCCTCCATACAGACCTTCTCCAGATCCTTCAGGTTTCGGGGCTGTCCTCCAAAGATTTTCTATTGGGTTCAGGTCTGGAGACTGGCTAGGCCACTCCAGGACCTTGAGATGCTTCTTACGGAGCCACTCCTTAGTTGCCCTGGCTGTGTGTTCTGGTCGTTGTCATGCTGGAAGACCCAGCCTCGACCCATCTTCAATGCTCTTACTGAGGGAAGGAGGTTGTTGGCCAAGATCTCGCGATACATGGCCCCATCCATCCTCCCCTCAATACGGTGCAGTCGTTCTGTCCCCTTTGCAGAAAAGCATCCCCAAAGAATGATGTTTCACGGTTGGGGTGGTGTTCTTGGGGTTGTACTCATCCTTCATCTTCCTCCGAACATGGCGAGTGGAGTTTAGACCAAAAAGCTCTATTTCTGTCTCATCAGACCACATGACCTTCTCCCATTCCTCCTCTGGATCATCCAGATGGTCATTGGCAAACTTCAGACGGGCCTGGACATGCGCTGGCTTGAGCAGGGGGACCTTGCGTGCGCTGCAGGATTTTAATCCATGACTGCGTAGTGTGTTACTAATGGTTTTCTTTGAGACTGTGGTCCCAGCTCTCTTCAGGTCATTGACCAGGTCCTGCCGTGTAGTTCTGGGCTGATCCCTCACCTTCCTCATGATCATTGATGCCCCACGAGGTGAGATCTTGCATGGAGCCCCAGACCGAGGGTGATTGACCGTCATCTTGAACTTCTTCCATTTTCTAATAATTGCGCCAACAGTTGTTGCCTTCTCACCAAGCTGCTTGCCTATTGTCCTGTAGCCCATCCAAGCCTTGTGCAGGTCTACCATTCTATCCCTGATGTCCTTACACAGCTCTCTGGTCTTGGCCATTGTGGAGAGGTTGGAGTCTGTTTGATTGAGTGTGTGGACAGGTGTCTTTTATACAGGTAACGAGTTCAAACAGGTGCAGTTAATACAGGTAATGAGTGGAGAACAGGAGGGCTTCTTAAAGAAAAACTAACAGGTCTGTGAGAGCCGGAATTCTTACTGGTTGGTAGGTGATCAAATACTTATGTCATGCAATAAAATGCAAATTAATTACTTAAAAATCATACAATGTGATTTTCTGGATTTTTGTTTTAGATTCCGTCTCTCACAGTTGAAGTGTACCTATGATAAAAATTACAGACCTCTACATGCTTTGTAAGTAGGAAAACCTGCAAAATCAGCAGTGTATCAAATACTTGTTCTCCCCACTGTATATAGAGTGTGCAACATTATTTTTATACAGTTTAACCTCCGTCAGAACCTACAAAGATGTTTGGGTGTGCGTCAGCCCATGCTTTTTAAGGGACTGCTGCTCTGAGAACTTGGTTACTGGGGGGCTGAACTGTGTTACAGGGGTTGAAGGTGTTTCACCTGTGCTGTTCCTCCTAATATTTATTTATTTCTTAATTATATTATTTTAACTTTTAGATGTGTGTATTGTTGTGATTTGTTAGATCCTACTGCACTGTTGGAGCTAGGAACACAAGCATTTCATTACACCCGCAATAAACATTGCTAAATATGTGTATGTGACCAATACAATTTGATTTGATATTTAAGAGTGGTGATATTAACCTCCTCAGTCAATACATGTTAGAATAACCTTTGGCAGCGATTACAGCTGTGAGTCTTTCTGGGTAAGTCTAAGAGCTTTGCACACCTGGATTGTACAATATTTGCACATTATTATTTTATTTATTCTTCAAGCTCTGTCAAGTTGGTTGTTGATCATTGCTAGACAGCCATTTTCAAGTCTTGCCATAGATTATCAAGCCGATTTAAGTCAAAATTGTAACTAGGCCACTCAGGAACATTCAATGTCGTCTTGGTAAGCATCTCCAGTGTATATTTGACCTTGTGTTTTAGGTTATTGTCCTGCTGAAATGTGAATTTGTCTCCCAATGTCTGTTTGAAAGCAGACTGAACCAGGTTTTCCTCTAGGATTTTTCCTGTGTTTCTCTATTTTGTCTCTTTAAAAAAAACAAATCTGTGACGATGACAAGCATACCCATAACATGATGCAGTCACTACCAAGATTGAAAATGTGTAGAGTGGTTCTCAGTGATGTGTTGTATTGGATTTGCTCCAAACATAACACTGTATTCAGGACATACATTTTATTTATTTGCCACATTTTGTGTTGTTTTATTTTATTGTGTCTTACTGCAAACATGATGCATGTTTTGGAATATTTTTATTCTAAACAGGCTTCTTTTCATCCATCCTCAGTTTTCTCCTATCACAGCCATTAAACTCTAACTGTTTTAAAGTTAGCCAATATGCTGGCAACTGAGTTAGGAAGGACACCTGTATCTTTGTAGTGACTGGGTGTATTGATACACCATCCAAAATGTAATTAATAACTTCACCATGCTCAAAGGGATATTCAATGTCTGCTTTTTTTTTTTTTTTTTCCAGAGTGGGACTGTGTGTAATAGATATGTTGATGAATATTTCAGAGTGGGTCTGTGTGTAACAGATATGTTGATGTGTATTTCAGAGTGGGTCTGTGTGGTAATTGTCCAACAGTACATAAGTCTGTGCTGCTTGTACAGACGTTGCACATTTTAGGTGCATTAAAGATTCCCTTTCAGAAGTTAATATATTGTAACTCCTATTTCAGAAATGTCACCTACGTATTTATTTACTTAAGTTACAGTGGGGGAAAAATGTATTTAGTCAGCAACCAATTGTGCAAGTTCTCCCACTTAAAAAGATGAGAGGCCTGTAATTTTCATCATAGGTACACGTCAACTATGACAGACAAAATGAGATTTTTTTTCTCCAGAAAATCACATTGTAGGATTTTTAATGAATTTATTTGCAAATTATGGTGGAAAATAAGTATTTGGTCAATAACAAAAGTTTCTAAATACCTTGTTATATACCCTTTGTTGGCAATGACACAGGTCAAACGTTTTCTGTAAGTCTTCACAAGGTTTTCACACACTGTTGCTGGTATTTTGGCCCATTCCTCCATGCAGATCTCCTCTAGAGCAGTGATGTTTTGGGGCTGTCGCTGGGCAACACGGACTTTCAACTCCCTCCAAAGATTTTCTATGGGGTTGAGATCTGGAGACTGGCTAGGCCACTCCAGGACCTTGAAATGCTTCTTACGAAGCCACTCCTTCGTTGCCCGGGCGTTGTGTTTGGGATCATTGTCATGCTGAAAGACCCAGCCACGTTTCATCTTCAATGCCCTTGCTGATGGAAGGAGGTTTTCACTCAAAATCTCACGATACATGGCCCCATTCATTCTTTCCTTTACACGGATCAGTTGTCCTGGTCCCTTTGCAGAAAAACAGCCCCAAAGCATGATGTTTTCACCCCCATGCTTCACAGTAGGTATGGTGTTCTTTGGATGCAACTCAGCATTCTTTGTCCTCCAAACACGACGAGTTGAGTTTTTACCAAAAAGTTCTATTTTGGTTTCATCTGACATTCTCCCAATCCTCTTCTGGATCATCCAAATGCACTCTAGCAAACTTCAGACGGGCCTGGACATGTACTGGCTTAAGCAGGGGGACACGTCTGGCACTGCAGGATTTGAGTCCCTGGCGGCGTAGTGCGTTACTGATGGTAGGCTTTGTTACTTTGGTCCCAGCTCTCTGCAGGTCATTCACTAGGTCCCCCCGTGTGGTTCTGGGATTTTTGCTCACCGTTCTTGTGATCATTTTGACCCCACGGGGTGAGATCTTGCGTGGAGCCCCAGATCGAGGGAGATTATCAGTGGTCTTGTATGTCTTCCATTTCCTAATAATTGCTCCCACAGTTGATTTCTTCAAACCAAGCTGCTTACCTATTGCAGATTCAGTCTTCCCAGCCTGGTGCAGGTCTACAATTTTGTTTCTGGTGTCCTTTGACAGCTCTTTGGTCTTGGCCATAGTGGAGTTTGGAGTGTGACTGTTTGAGGTTGTGGACAGGTGTCTTTTATACTGATAACAAGTTCAAACAGGTGCCATTAATACAGGTAACGAGTGGAGGACAGAGGAGCCTCTTAAAGAAGTTACAGGTCTGTGAGAGCCAGAAATCGTGCTTGTTTGTAGGTGGACAAATACTTATTTTCCACCATAATTTGCAAATAAATTCATTAAAAATCCTACAATGTGATTTTCAGGATTTTTTCTCTCAATTTGTCTGTCATAGTTGACGTGTACCTATGATGAAAATTACAGGCCTCATCTTTTTAAGTGGGAGAACTTGCACAATTGGTGGCTGACTAAATACTTTTTTCCCCCACTGTATCTTTAGATTGTAAACAAACTTGGAGCTTGACATCACCCTGCAAGAGTCACCCTAACGATGTACCGGCAAATTATCTTTCAAACACACACATCTGTATACCAGTTGTATGCTTTGCGTGTGCGTGCGTGTGTGTGTGTGTGTACCTGGTACAGAGCACATCCTCATGGAGAGAGCCCTGACAGCGTTGACACTGTGTCCACAGGCGAGAGAAGCGCTCCTCCAGCGTACTTAAGTGGAAGATCTAGAATTCAAAAAGATTCACCACTAGTAATTATTCATCAGAGATTCACCATTAGTAAGTATACTGAACAAAAATATAAACGCAACATGCAACAATGTAAACGATTTTGCTGAGATACAGTTCATATAAGGAAATCAGTCAATTGAAATAAATAAATTAGGCCCTAATCTATGGATTCCACATGAGGCAGGGGCGCGGCCATGGGTGGGCCTGGGAGGGCATAGGGCCACCGACTGGGGAGCCAGGCCCAGCCAATCAGAATGAGTTTTCCCCACAAAAAGGGCTTTATTACAGACAGAAATACTCCTCCGCCAAATACATTTAAACTCAGTTTTTCACAATTACTGACATTTAATCCTAGTAAAACTCCCTGTTTTAGGTCAGTTAGGATCACCACTTTATTTTAATGTCAGAATAATAGTAGAGAATGATTTATTTCAGCTTTTATTTCTTTCATCACATTCCCAGTGGGTCAGAAGTTTACATACACTCAATTATTATTTGGTAGCATTGCCTTTAAATTGTGTGCGAACTATTTTTTTATTTTTTGGGGGGGTAGATCAGCTTAATATTGCAGATAGATTGTAACTTCCATCAATGTAATTGTCTGCATCACTTTCAATCCAATGTTTAAAAAAAAAAAAAAAAATATATATATATATATAAAAATATATATATACTATATATACTATATTATATATAAATATTATACACACACACACACACATATACACACACAGTGGGGAGAACAAGTATTTGATACACTGCCGATTTTGCAGGTTTTCCTACTTACAAAGCATGTAGAGGTCTGTAATTTTTATCATAGGTACACTTCAACCGGAATCTAAAACAAAAATCCAGAAAATCACATTGTATGATTTTTAAGTAATTAATTTGCATTTTATTGCATGACATAAGTATTTGATCACCTACCAACCAGTAAGAATTCCGGCTCTCACAGACCTGTTAGTTTTTCTTTAAGAAGCCCTCCTGTTCTCCACTCATTACCTGTATTAACTGCACCTGTTTGAACTCGTTACCTGTATAAAAGACACCTGTCCACACACTCAATCAAACAGACTCCAACCTCTCCACAATGGCCAAGACCAGAGAGCTGTGTAAGGACATCAGGGATAAAATTGTAGACCTGCACAAGGCTGGGATGGGCTACAGGACAATAGACAAGCAGCTTGGTGAGAAGGCAACAACTGTTGGCGCAATTATTAGAAAATGGAAGAAGTTCAAGATGACGGTCAATCACCCTCGGTCTGGGGCTCCATGCAAGATCTCACCTCGTGGGGCATCAATGATCATGAGGAAGGTGAGGGATCAGCCCAGAACTACACGGCAGGACCTGGTCAATGACCTGAAGAGAGCTGGGACCACAGTCTCAAAGAAAACCATTAGTAACACACTACGCCGTCAAGGATTAAAATCCTGCAGCGCACGCAAGGTCCCCCTGCTCAAGCCAGCGCATGTCCAGGCCCGTCTGAAGTTTGCCAATGACCATCTGGATGATCCAGAGGAGGAATGGGAGAAGGTCATGTGGTCTGATGAGACAAAAATAGAGCTTTTTGGTCTAAACTCCACTCGCCGTGTTTGGAGGAAGAAGAAGGATGAGTACAACCCCAAGAACACCATCCCAACCGTGAAGCATGGAGGTGGAAACATCATTCTTTGGGGATGCTTTTCTGCAAAGGGGACAGGACGACTGCACCGTATTGAGGGGAGGATGAATGGGGCCATGTATCGCGAGATCTTGGCCAACAACCTCCTTCCCTCAGTAAGAGCATTGAAGATGGGTCGTGGCTGGGTCTTCCAGCATGACAACGACCCGAAACACACAGCCAGGGCAACTAAGGAGTGGCTCCGTAAGAAGCATCTCAAGGTCCTGGAGTGGCCTAGCCAGTCTCCAGACCTGAACCCAATAGAACATCTTTGGAGGGAGCTGAAAGTCCGTATTGCCCAGTGACAGCCCCGAAACCTGAAGGATCTGGAGAAGGTCTATTTTATATTTAAGGTCTGTATGGAGGAGTGGGCCACAATCCCTGCTGCAGTGTGTGCAAACCTGGTCAAGACCTACAGGAAACGTATGATCTCTGTAATTGCAAACAAAGGTTTCTGTACCAAATATTAAGTTCGGCTTTTCTGATGTATCAAATACTTATGTCATGCAATAAAATGCAAATTAATTACTTAAAAATCATACAATGTGATTTTCTGGATTTTTGTTTTAGATTCCGTCTCTCACAGTTGAAGTGTACCTATGATAAAAATTACAGACCTCTACATGCTTTGTAAGTAGGAAAACCTGCAAAATCGGCAGTGTATCAAATACTTGTTCTCCCCACTGTACATGCATACATATCCTTTAAAAAAATATATATTCCCCTTTATTACTTTACAACCCCGCCACCCTTTCCCCACTTGGAGTAAACTAGTGAACAACAACGCCTAGGCCTCTACTTCCAGCCCATACCCACTATCTACATTTTATGGACACAGTCAATTTTACAGTAATTACATTTTGTTTGTTCTTTCTCCTGAAATTCTACTCTCAACCTCTCCGATCATTTTCATGATGTCCATCTGGTTTGCTTCTATATGCCATATCTTTCTAGCTGTGCTCCTTCACAAAAGCTCCCAACCTACAACCCATACACTTATTATGGACACAGCGTGCCTACATTATTAGTTATCTTGTTATTGTTTGTTGTTATTAGTCCCATCCTTCAATTCCATTCAACACCTCCCATCTATCTTTTAACACCATCCATATAGGATTTATTTTTGCCATATATATTTCAACTGTACTGTGATGTCTTACAAAAGTTCTGAACCTTTCTATTCTCATTGTTTCTACATGAATTGAAAATAAACATTTTTGCTAATAGTATTATTATGTTATTGATCGATTGACTGACTTTTCAGATCACCCTATCTGCAGGGTTAGCTCCAGGTAAATATTGCAATCCTTTAGCCATTCCTGGACCTGTGTCCAAAAACAAGCTACAAATGGACAGAACCAAAACTAATGATTCTGTCTCTTCGCAGCAAAATCTGCAGAGCTGGGAAGATTGTATCCCCCATATAAATAACATTCTATTGGTAGCAAGAATTTTATATAATAATTTAAATTGAAAGATTCTAAGTTTTGAATCCGGTGTCGTTTTGCGTATCAGTTCATAAACACTATGCCATGGGATCGGTACGTCAAAAATCTCTTCCCAACTATTTTGCAATCTATATGGGACGGCTGTCAATCCTTTGGTCCTTAAATGAAACTGATATACCTTTTTATTTATCACAGTTTTCCTTAACCATTTATGTTCTTTAATGCAAGGCCGACAGACAAGTTCCTTACTTCCTCCTCCTTCCACTTTCCTCTTCCATTTTTGCAGTAAGGCTGCAATTATTTGGTTGTAATTTTGGGTAGAGCAGACATTTCCATATATTTTTGTTAGCTGCATGTGCGACATAACTCGACTAGTCCTACCGATGATATCATTTACAAAGATTTTTTAAACATTGTCAAAAAAAGAAGTTATGTCAATTAGTATATTTGAGTTTAACCACAATATTTGTTGCATTATTTGTTCTGTCGTTTCTGGAGGATTAAATTGAAATTGCAACCAACTTTCTATGGCTTGTTTTAGAAATAGTGATATCTGGGAGATGATTTCCTTTTCAAATAACTGAAAGTGAGTGGTTGTAATCTGAATAAAGGGAAAAAGGCCATTCTTGAACATTAGGTGAGACAATCTTACTAATTTGCTTGAGAACCAGTTCGGATTTAAGTATAACTTTTGTATGACTGAAGCTTTTAGTGATAGGTCTAATGCTTTAATATTTAATAATTTCTGTCCTCCGAATTCATATTCATTATATAAATAGGCCCGTTTAATTTTGTCTGGCTTGCCGTTCCAAATAAAATGGAATATTTGTTTCTAATATAATTTTTTAAAAACTGTTCGCTAGGTGTAGGCAAGACCATAAGCAAATAGGTCAACTGGGATAATACTAAAGAGTTAATCAGGGTGATTTTTCCACAAATTGACAGGCACCCACCTTTCCATGGTAGCAAGATCTTATCTATTTTTGCTAACTTTCTATTATAATTTATTGAAGTGAAATCATTTATTTCCTTTGGGATATGTATTCCGAGTATATCCACATCACCATCAGACCATTTTATTGGTAAAATACATGGCAATGTAAATCTTTTATTGATCCAATACATAATATAGCACATGTCATAATTTGGTTGTAATCCAGAGAGGTTAGAAAATGTATCTAGATCCTCTATGAGGCTGTGGAGTGATTCTAGTTGTGGATATAAAAGAAAACATGAATCATCAGCGTACAATGACACCTTTGTTTTTAAGCCCTGGATTTCTAATCCCCTGATATTATTGTTGGATCTGATTTTAATAGCTAACATCTCGATGGCCACAATAAATAGATATGCCGATAGTGGACAACCTTGTTTCACTCCTCTTGACAGTTTAAACCTTTGAGAAATAGCCATTATTTACTATTTTACACCTAGGGTTACTATACATGATTTTGACCCATTTTATAAGAGATTCATCAAAATTGAAATGCTCCAGGCATTTATATATATAAACCCCAGTCGTACTTTATCAAATGCCTTTTCGAAGTCTGCTATGAATAGCAGGCCTGGTTTCTCAGATTTTCCATAATGTTCTATTGTTTCCAATACCTGTCTGATTAGAATGAATAATATATTCGACAATACCTTTTTAATTCTATGCGCTATACATTTTGCTAGAATTTTTGCATCACAACACTGAAGTGTAAGGGGCCTCCAATTTTTTAAATGGACTGGATCTTTATATTTTCCACTTGTATCCTGTTTCAGTAATAATGAGATCAGACCTTCTTGAGTGTCAGATAATCTACCATTTACATAGGAGTGGTTAAAACATGCTAATAGCGGTCCTCTTAGTATATCAAAAAAGGTTTGTGAACTCTTTGCTCGCACACGCTTTTTCAGTTCTGCCCACACATTTTCTATAGGATTGAGGTCAGGGCTTTGTGATGGCCACTCCAATACCTTGACTTTGTTGTCCTTAAGCAATTTTGCCACAACTTTGGAAGTATGCTTGGGGTCATTGTCCATTTGGAAGACCCATTTGCGACCAAGCATTAACTTCCTGACTGATGCCTTGAGATGTTGCAACAATATATCCACATCATTTTCCTTCCTCATGATACCATCTACATTGCCTTGCAAAAGTATTCATCCCCCTTGGCGTTTTTCCTATTTTGTTGCATTACAACCTGTAATTTAAATAGATTTTTATTTGGATTTCATGTAATGGACATACACAAAATAGTCCAAATTGGTGAATTGAAATGAAAAAAATAACTTGTTTCAAGAAATTCAAAAAAATAAATAACAGAAAAGTGGTGCCTGCATATGTATTCACCCCCTTTGCTATGAAGCCCCTAAATAAGATATGGTGCAACCAATTACCTTCAGAAGTCACATAATTAGTTAGATTGCACACAGGTGGACTTTATTTAAGTGTCACATGATCTCAGTATATATACACACACGTGTTCTGAAGGGCCCCAGAGTCTGCAACACCACTAAGCAAGGGGCACCACCAAGCAAGCGGCACCATGAAAACCAAGGAGCTCTCCAAACAGGTCAGGGACAAAGTTGAGAAGTACAGATCAGTGTTGGGTTATAAAAAAATATCCAAAACTATGAACATCCCACGGAGCACTATTAAATCCCTTATTAAAAAATGGAAAGAATATGGCACCACAACAAACCTGCCAAGAGAGGGCCGCCCACCAAAACTCACAGACCAGGCAAGGAGGGCATTAATCAGAGGCAACAAAGAGACCAAAGATAACCCTGAAGGAGCTGCAAAGCTCCACAGCGGAGATTGGAGTATCTGTCCATAGGACCACTTTAAGCCGTACACTCCACAGAGCTGGGCTTTACAGAAGAGTGGCCAGAAAAAGCCATTGCTTAAAGAAAAAAAATAAGCAAATATGTTTGGTGTTCGCCAAAAGGCATGTGGGAGACTCCCCAAACATATGGAAGAAGGTACTCTGGTCAGATGAGACTAAAATTGAGCTTTTTGGCCATCAAGGAAAATGCTATGTCTGGCGCAAACCCAACACCTCTCATCACCCCGAGAACACCATCCCCACAGTGAAGCATGGTGGTGGCAGCATCATGCTGTGTTGATGTTTTTCCATCGGCAGGGACAGGGAAACTGGTCAGAATTGAAGGAATGATGGATGGCGCTAAATACAGGGAAATTCTTGAGGGAAACCTGTTTCAGTCTTCCAGAGATTTGAGACTGGGACATAGATTCACCTTCCAGCAGGACAATGACCCTAAGCATGCTGCTAAAGCAACACTTGAGTGGTTTAAGGGGAAACATTTAAACGTCTTGGAATGGCCTAGACAAAGCCCAGACCTCAATCCAATGGTGAATCTGTGGTATGACTTAAAGATTGCTGTACACCAGCGGAACCCATCCAACTTGAAGGAGCTGGAGCAGTTTTGCCTTGAAGAATGGGCAAAAATCCCAGTGGCTAGCTGTGCCAAGCTTATAGAGACATACCCCAAGAGACATGCAGCTCTATTTGCTGCAAAAGGTGGCTCTACAAAGTTGACTCTGGGGGGGTGAATAGTTGTCCGCTTTTTTGTCTTATTTCTTGTTTGTTTCACAATAAAAAATATTTTGCATCTTGAAAGTGGTAGGCATGTTGTGTAATTCAAATTATACAACCCCCCCAAAAATCCATGTTAATTCCAGGTTGTAAGGCAACAAAATAGGAAAAATGCCAAGGGGGGGTGAATACTTTCGCAAGCCACTGTATTTTGTGAAGTGCACCAGTCCCTCCTGCAGCAAAGCACCCCCACAGCATGATGCTGCCACCCCTGTGCTTCACGGTTGGAATGGTGTTCTTCGGCTTGCAAGCGACCCCCTTTTTCCTCCAAACATAACAATGGTCATTATTGCCAAACAGTTCTATTTTTGTTGTCAGACCAGAGGATATTTCTCCAAAAAGTACAATCTTTGTATGTGCAGTTGCAAATACAAGGTCCTTTGCTGTTGTTCTGGGATTGATATGCACTTTTCGCACTAAAGTACGTTCATCTCTAGGAGACAGAACGCATCTCCTTCCTCAGCGGTATGACGGCTGCGTGGTCCCATGGTGTTTATACTGGCGTACTATTGTTTGTACAGATGAACGTGGTACCTTCAGGCATTTGGAAATTGCTCAAGGATGAACCAGACTTGTGGAGGTCTACAATTATTTTTCTGATGTCTTGACTCATTTATTTTGATTTTCCCATGATGTCAAGCAAAGAGGCACTGAGTTTGAAGGTAGGCCTTGAAACACATCCACAGGTACACCTCCCATTGACTCAAATTATGTCAATTAGCCTATCAGAAGCTTCTAAAGCCATGACATCATTTTCTGGAATTTTCCAAGCTGTTTAAAGGCACAGTCAACTTAGTGTATGTAAACTTCTGACGCACTAGAATTGTGATACAGTGAATTATAAGTGAAATAATCTGTCTAAACAATTGTTGGAAAAATTACTTGTGTCATGCACAAAGTAGATGTCCTAACCGACTTGCCAAAACTATAGTTTGTTGACAAGAAATTTGTGGAGTGGTTGAAAAACGAGTTTTAATGACTCCAACCTAAGTGTATGTAAACTTCCGACTTCAATTGTATTAGTGTCTAATGAACAGGACACAGATTAACAGTACAGGGTTGATATATTGTACCTCTTTCTGGTACAGCTCCGACTCCTTCTTCTTACAAAAATCACACACAGCCGCTGTGGGGAGGACAGCAGAGATTAGAAATCACACACACACACACACACACAAACATACAGTACATTATTACACTCTCTCTCACCATCGTTCTTCAGCACTGCTCTGCAGCCAATACAGGTGCTCCTCTTGGTGGCGAAGGCCATGAGCCCCCCCACCCTGGAGGTCAACACTGTCTTACAGCGAGTGTGATCCCCCTCTGAAACACACAAACACATCAAATCAAGTTTATTTGTGCAATTAGTCTAATAATAGCAGCAGTCATGGTGTGTTTGTAGTGTGAATGTGTGTGTGGGTGTGTATTTGTGCATATGTTTGGGTGTGTGAGTGAGAGTGACGAGAGAAAGGAAGAGACTGTGTGTGTGTGAGGCATACTGACTCACTCAGTAAGACGCTCTCTGCTTTGCTCTCTCCCAGGATTGGCTCAAAGATCCGGAGCAGTGGCTTGGAGAGCTGTTGTTCCAGGTAGTACTGGGTGTCAATGGGAATGTTGTTCTCCAACACATAGATTGGGTCCTACACACAATATTCATTATTTGTGTGAATGTTAATTAATGTATACCTTTAAAAGGCACACCAACAATCACATTAATATTTACAATAGCCTCCACACACACACAAAGTTCTAACCTCAGACTTCATGTATGCTGCTACTCCTTTGGCAGCTTTGATAATGACATAGGGAACTCTGTCTCCCAGTTGCGGGGCGCTACCCGCGTCTCTCTTCTTCATCCTGCAGAGGTGAGGGGTCAGAGGTTATCAACTGGTAACAATGATAGAACGATCCTTTATAAAGGAACAACTTTTATTTGGATGGGCTTTCAGAAACCGTTCCATTCCAGCCATTACAATGATACTGTCCACCCCATTTCTCCCTGCACCAGCCTCCAATGTTCCTCCTCTCTCTCTCCGCCTCTGTGCCTCTCTCCCTCCTTACCTCTCTGCCAGCTCTACATGCGCCTGTTTCCCAGCGTACTCCTGGGCTGTACGGGTCAGCTCCTTGGTGATAACCAGCTGGCTGATGTCGATGCGGTTACACAGCAGGTCAGAGATTACCTCTTTGGCGTGGGCCACCGCACCCTGGGGATCCCTGGGTAGAGAGAGCAGGAGGGAGGGAAGGAGGGAGGGTAGAGAGAGGAGGATGGAGGGAAGGAGGGAGGGTAGAGAGACGTTACAGACCTACTGAACAGGACAACAACTCTGTAACTGACCTACTGAACAGGACCCAGGACAACAAAGGTCTGCAGTAGGTAGACGGTACCGGTCTATGAGAATGTTCTATGTTCTGCAATAGGAGGTAGGTACCGGTCTATAGCTAGGTTTCCATCCAATTTGCGACAGATTTTCATGAGAATATTCTAAAATCGGCACATATTAATATAAGTCTATGCGTGATGAAATAGTGCACATAAAAATAACTTTAGCAGTTTAATTCCCATTTAAAGAATGAAAAATTAAAGTTAAATGGGTTTCCATCGCATTTTCAACTCTACTGATGGTTTTGTCACAAAAACGGTTGTGTTTTATAGAAAATGTGCCTACTCCACTCAGGTATTGGCAGGTGCGCTCTAGCCAGCAGCTGGCAGATACAGTGCTGGTATAAACCTACATGATGAGATTATGGATAACAGCAATATTTGTATTATTTGTCAAACGGCAGCTAAGCGTCGATCATCATGTCACCAGAATAAGACCCTTGATATTTAGTGAAAAGGAGCATCAAGCTCATCACCTTGTGAAGTTCATCATAACTTATTTCATCTGTAGCCTAATAAACTGCATGCTTTCCTGAGTCGTAGTGTGAGGACCACACAACATGTCATCGCGTGACTTCAAGTTTACTTCGATATGATGGTTATTATACCAATATTAGCACATAAATGCGTTTCCACCGCAATTTATTGCATAATTAATTTTGCAGACACAAAAAGATCCCACCGTGTCGAACGAACAAATTATCTGTCGGCATTTATAAAATTGTACCGGCATTTCCTGTTTCCCTCAGCCCGGTAGTGACTTTTTTGTGCGTCAGGTAATTCATCCGCATGAAATGGTTGGATGGAAACCTGGTTTATGAGAATGTTCTATGTTCTGCAGTAGGTGGTACCTACCTGTCTATCAGAATGTTCTAGGTGGTACCTACCTGTCTATCAGAATGTTCTAGGTGGTACCTACCTGTCTATCAGAATGGTCTGCAGGCAGGTGTTGATCAGATTGGCCACCAGGGTGCAGTTGTCTCGGCGGACCGTCTCGATACCCTTGCAGTCCATCTTGTCGTGAGTGTCAGCGCTGGAGGAGAAGTAGAGGCCTGCGTAGCGCTTTTTGTTGATCAACAGGTAGGGGTAGTACACCTGAAGTGAGGAGAGAGAGGAGGGAGGGAGAGGAGAGGGAGATAAAGGAGTTTAACTTGTTTTTATTTGACCATGGAAGGAGCTCATAGTAACCTTGAGTCACGTCCCATGGGGAGAGGAGAGAGTATGGATGTTAGTTATTTGACCATCCAAGAGAGGAATCACATAGCTTTATTGCAGACTAAACAAAAGACAAAGTAGTACAAGGTAGCTTGGTCTAGCACTAGACCTGGGTGGTGTTCATTTAGGAACACTGTTGTTGCAAAATAAAACAATTACAATCAGTTTTTCTAATTGGTCAACTCCAGGTAGTATCCATATAATTACATATTAGAATTTAGTAGTTTAATAGGATCTCTGTGGTAGTACCTTGCTGTTTCACAGTTTACCACCAGGAGTTAGGGTTTTCAGAAAATAGAGTTTCACTCAGTTTTAAAATGTTTCCTACCAACTGAACATGACCCAGGGCTATTAGCAACAGCGTTTTAAATGGTGAACTGGTACCTTCTCAAACTCCAGTTTGATGGGAGGGGTGAAGTGGGAGGAGACCCACTCTGCCGCCTCCCTCCCAACCTCCATGGCCCTGCTCACAGTGTCCACTCCTAGTTTGACCATGACGGAGTCCGTGTCCCCGTAGATGACCTAACACACACACACACAATCAAGGAGAGTTGTAAGTAAGTAGAACAACTAAAAGGGATGAAGGTCCCAAAAGAAAGGAGAGGTTAGGATGGTGGAACGACTGCCCTCGCTCTTCTCTCTCACCTTGGCATCAGCTTGGTAACCGTTGGAGATGGTGTACTTGGATTCCACCAGCTGTTTGGTCTGCTCAATCATCTGTCTGCCAAACCCAGTGACACTCTGGAAACACAGGGAGAGGTTACTAACATTGGTGACACTCTGGAAACACAGGGAGAGGTTACTAACATTGGTGACACTCTGGAAACACAGGGAGAGGTTACTAACATTGGTGACACTCTGGAAACACAGGGAGAGGTTACTAACATTGGTGACACTCTGGAAACACAGGGAGAGGTTACTAACATTGGTATTTCCAAGACAATGCAACAGTTTTTTTGTTTTGTTTTTATCTCAATATCAAATCATTTCTTGGTAACAATTATGTACCTTACTGTGATTGTTATAAAAAAAAATGTTCTAAAAGAAACAAAAATAGCTTCTAAGTCAAGAGTAATGTCTCAAGCAAGAATTTTGCTAGGACTGTCTGGGTGTGGTCTGAGTAGGGAGGGGGTAAAATGGAATCTAGCTGTTATTGGCAGAGAGGTTTGGAACTCTTTCTTATTGCTCTATTAACTCATTTACTGTCACCAGGCAGGCTAAAACGCCATCCAACCAAAACAGGCTGAAATTTCAGTCAGTCTTCTCGAACCACTCTTGCACTAAAAGGGCATTATCATTTTCACAATTTCACAGTATTATTCTAACCTCAGTTTGGAAATATTTTTAAAACACAAAAAATTCACATTTTTGACTGCACTGGGCCTTTAAGACATGTCTCGAGACATCTCCAGACATCTTAATTTATACAGTGGGGGAAAAAAGTATTTAGTCAGCCACCAATTGTACAAGTTCTCCCACTTAAAAAGATGAGAGGCCTGTAATTTTCATCATAGGTACACGTCAACTATGACAGACAAAATGAGAAAAAGAAATCCAGAAAATCACATTGTAGGATTTTTAATGAATTTATTTGCAAATTATGGTGGAAAATAAGTATTTGGTCAATAACAACAGTTTCTCAATACTTTGTTATATACCCTTTGTTGGCAATGACACAGGTCAAACGTTTTCTGTAAGTCTTCACAAGGTTTTCACACACTGTTGCTGGTATTTTGGCCCATTCCTCCATGAAGATCTCCTCTAGAGCAGTGAAGTTTTGGGGCTGTCGCTGGGCAACACAGACTTTCAACTCCCTCCAAAGATTTTCTATGGGGTTGAGATCTGGAGACTGGCTAGGCCACTCCAGGACCTTGAAATGCTTCTTACGAAGCCACTCCTTCGTTGCCCGGGCGGTGTGTTTGGGATCATTGTCATGCTGAAAGACCCAGCCACGTTTCATCTTCAATGCCCTTGCTGATGGAAGGAGGTTTTCACTCAAAATCTCACGATACATGGCCCCATTCATTCTTTCCTTTACACGGATCAGTCGTCCTGGTCCCTTAGCAGAAAAACAGCCCCAAAGCATGATGTTTCCACCCCCATGCTTCACAGTAGGTATGGTGTTCTTTGGATGCAACTCAGCATTCTTTGTCCTCCAAACACGACGAGTTGAGTTTTTACCAAAAAGTTATATTTTGGTTTCATCTGACCATATGACATTCTCCCAATCCTCTTCTGGATCATCCAAATGCACTCTAGCAAACTTCAGACGGGCCTGGACATGTACTGGCTTAAGCAGGGGGACACGTCTGGCAATGCAGGATTTGAGTCCCTGGCGGCGTAGTGTGTTACTGATGGTAGGCTTTGTTACTTTGGTCCCAGCTCTCTGCAGGTCATTCACTAGGTCCCCCCGTGTGGTTCTGGGATTTTTGCTCACCGTTCTTGTGATAATTTTGACCCCACGGGGTGAGATCTTGCGTGGAGCCCCAGATCGAGGGAGATTATCAGTGGTCTTGTATGTCTTCCATTTCCTAATAATTGCTCCCACAGTTGATTTCTTCAAACCAAGCTGCTTACCTATTGCAGATTCAGTCTTCCCAGCCTGGTGCAGGTCTACAATTTTGTTTCTGGTGTCCTTTGACAGCTCTTTGGTCTTGGCCATAGTGGAGTTTGGAGTGTGACTGTTTGAGGTTGTGGACAGGTGTCTTTTATACTGATAACAAGTTCAAACAGGTGCCATTAATACAGGTAACGAGTGGAGGACAGAGGAGCCTTGCTTGTTTGTAGGTGACCAAATACTTATTTTCCACCATAATTTGCAAATAAATTCATTAAAAATCCTACAATGTGATTTTCAGGGAAAAAAAATCTCAATTTGTCTGTCATAGTTGACGTGTACCTATGATGAAAATTACAGGCCTCTCATCTTTTTAAGTGGGAGAACTTGCACAATTGGTGGCTGACTAAATACTTTTTTCCCCCACTGTATGTCTTAAGACATGTTGATGGCTGGGTATGTAAATACAAACAGGACATTGTCTGGATGCCTACAGCTCCACTGGCCTGGGGTCCTGGTCCCAGTTTCCACTTTGAGCCACTGAGCTTGAGTAAACTGGGCAGGGTGCTCACCTGTGAGATCTCAAGGCAGGGCAGCTTGCCCACCTGAGCCCCTGTAAAGCCATAGACGGAGTTGGCGCTGATTTTGAGAGCGAGCTGTCGGCCGTCAAGGACCTGTTTCTTGAAAGGATCCGTTTCCTTTTTCAGCTCCGCTTTGGCCCTGAAGACATCGAAAGAGGGTCAGAAATAATAACAACAACTTTAATTTGTTAAGCACTGTTCATACACTGTTTGGGTAAGGTCTACATTGACTGACTTTTGTCCAGGATGAGCAGATGGAGTGGCTTATACACAACTCAGCTTTGGTCATTTGACAGCACAAGAGTTTAATCATCTTTCAATGAGTCAAATTACTAAGAACCTAGGTTAAGAGCACACTTACAGTGGGGAGAACAAGTATTTGATACACTGCCGATTTTGCAGGTTTTCCTACTTACAAAGCATGTAGAGGTCTGTAATTTTTTATCATAGGTACACTTCAACTGTGAGAGACGGAATCTAAAACAAAAATCTAGAAAATCACATTGTATGATTTTTAAGTAATTAATTTGCATTTTATTGCATGACATAAGTATTTGATCACCTACCAACCAGTAAGAATTCCGGCTCTCACAGACCTGTTACTTTTTATTTAAGAAGCCCTCCTGTTCTCCACTCATTACCTGTATTAACTGCACCTGTTTGAACTCGTTACCTTTATAAAAGACACCTCCACACACTTAATCAAACAGACTCCAACCTCTCCACAATGGCCAAGACCAGAGAGCTGTGTAAGGACATCAGGGATAAAATTGTAGACCTGCACAAGGCTGCGATTGGCTACAGGACAATAGGCAAGCAGCTTGGTGAGAAGGCAACAACTGTTGGCGCAATTATTAGAAAATGGAAGAAGTTCAAGATGACGGTCAATCACCCTCGGTCTGGGGCTCCATGCAAGATCTCACCTCGTGGGGCATCAATGATCATGAGGAAGGTGAGGGATCAGCCCAGAACTACACGGCAGGACCTGGTCAATGACCTGAAGAGAGCTGGGACCACAGTCTCAAAGAAAACCATTAGTAACACACTACGCCGTCATGGATTAAAATCCTGCAGCGCACGCAAGGTCCCCCTGCTCAAGCCAGCGCATGTCCAGGCCCGTCTGAAGTTTGCCAATGACCATCTGGATGATCCAGAGGAGGAATGGGAGAAGGTCATGTGGTCTGATGAGACAAAAATAGAGCTTTTTGGTCTAAACTCCACTCGCTGTGTTTGGAGGAAGAAGAAGGATGAGTACAACCCCAAGAACACCATCCCAACCGTGAAGCATGGAGGTGGAAACATCATTCTTTGGGGATGCTTTTCTGCAAAGGGGACAGGACGACTGCACCGTATTGAGGGGAGGATGGATGGGGCCATGTATCACGAGATCTTGGCCAACAACCTCCTTCCCTCAGTAAGAGCATTGAAGATGGGTCGTGGCTGGGTCTTCCAGCATGACAGCGACCTGAAACACACAGCCAGGGCAACTAAGGAGTGGCTCCGTAAGAAGCATCTCAAGGTCCTGGAGTGGCCTAGCCAGTCTCCAGACCTGAACCCAATAGAACATCTTTGGAGGGAGCTGAAAGTCCGTTTCGCCCAGCGACAGCCCCGTTAAACTTTTAGATTCCGTCTCTCACAGTTGAAGTGTACCTATGATAAAAATTACAGACCTCTACATGCTTTGTAAGTAGGAAAACCTGCAAAATCGGCAGTGTATCAAATACTTGTTCTCCCCACTGTAAATGTCAGAATTATACAAGAACCACCTGTCTTCCCCAAGCTATCTTTTCACCATTATATTTATTTAACCTTTATTTAAGCAGGGAGTCCCATTGAGACCAAAGTGTATTTTGCAAGGGAGCCCTGCATCACAAGAGCAGCACACAATTACACATTAAGTTCCAAACACAAATAGTTCAATCAAGACAGGAGCACAGGAAACAGAAATAGTTCAAATCAAGACAGGAAACACAACACAAAAAATAACTATAAGAGGAATAGTTTGCTATAGACAGTGTTCATATACTCTATGGCAGGTCAGGAATCAGTGCGACTGATCCTAGATCAGATTAAGAAACCTAAGAGATGTGCATAGGGCCTCGTTTCAGCAGACTCAGGGTCAGTGCTTACTTCTTCCTGGCCGAGAGCAGGTCCTCCAGGATATCAGGCAGAAGTCCCTTCCTCACCGAGCTCTTAACAAACATGTCACCTGTGGGAGTCTTGATGAAGTCCTCTGGGGTCAGACTAAGGAGACAAAACACCCATGTCACTTACAAATCAACCTGGGTCAACTTTGGTCAAATACAGCCCAGAAACAACCAATCAAGGATGCAGTCAAAGAAATGGCTGAGGTTTTCAGAGCTACGTTGCAGACCCCTGCCATAGCTAGATTAGGGTTGGAATTAAAACCTACTGGAGGGTGTCTTTCCAGGAACAGGGTTGGAGAGCCCTGATTAGAGAAACCACACAAAAATAGTGACTATCTCACCCCAGCTTCTCTGCTGAGCCCTTCTGGAGCAGGGTGGTGTAGCAGAGGTTGTGGGCCATCATGATGGAGGGATACAGGGAGGAGAAATCCAGGGTGGCGATGGGAACGCTGTAGTATCTGGAGAAAGCAGAGAGAGAGAGAGCAATAGCAAGAGTAAGTTCACGTTCATGTTTATACCCACATAGCGGTCATAGATACTACAATACATAAAGGGACCAGAATGGAAATAAGTCATTGACTTTACTGTTATCCCTGACAAGTTTTAACATGTATGTACTGTGTCTATGTCTAACTGTCAAATAAAAATATATCAACATTAGATTACATTAATACACAAACAATTAAACATTCAAGCTAAAATCACAAGTAGGCCAGAATACTCCCTAAAACACAGAGCTGTGTTACTCACCCTGTCTCAATGACTAACTCCAGTAGTCTTCAGAGCAGTGTTACTCACCCTGTCTCTGGCTCAATGACTAAC